TAAATTGACCAATAAGAATGATCAAAACCTTGATTTGTGTTACCATTAAAATATACTCTGACCGTTTAAGAGATAATTTTGTTTATTGTTTTTATCTGGTTAGATAATCTATCTTTATCAATTTTTCATTACCCTCTATCTCTCAAAAAAAAAATTTTTTTTCTCATTATTTCAAACATTTAGGACATAATAAAAATATAAAGAAATAATATTTAGTACTTCAAATGTGCAAATGTCAGTAATTCCAAAGAAACTGGAAACTTTCCCTTCTTGCAGAAACTTTTGAAGGAAGCACTGTTAGAAGCAGGGTTGGCAAGTTGACTGGTCCATTGAGAACTGTTGGACTTTGAGCTGGTCCATTGCCATTAATAAAATACTAAATATAGTTAAAATGTTACATTAATGGACCCAATAGACCATCAATGGACCACCAATGGACCACACATTCGCCAATCCTGGTTAGAAGAAATAACCACAAGTAGAATTTTACATGAAACATGGAGACTGTATGGTTTTCAAACAAATGACTACAAGATATAGATAAAGTACTTATCTTTTAATAATTTTAATAAGTATTTATGCAAATATGATGATTTCTTAGTTATGACAGAAAACAGGCAACATGTTTGCAGACTCTTGTTATAGGATTAAGTGATAAGTTGTTTGTTTTCTTGAATGTAATGGAGTTGAGTAAGCCATGTTACAAGATCCTGCTACATTGTACCTCATGAGAGTGATTAAAACATTCAGTAATAATACACAATCATTTTCTAAATTATAAGGACTATCATTTTAAGAAATAATTTAACAGGTTATTTATTTATACTTCTTTAGATATGCTATTCATGGAATGAGCTGAAATCATTGGTTTATTTTGGTAAGCTTTTTAAAATCTAAAGAAAATTGTTGTCTAGAATCATATACAATCTTTGAAGTTGTAAATTTTTACAAATCTGAAACTTGGAAACTTCAAGCCAAATGCAATATTGGTAGCTTAAAAGATGCAATGAGGGTATTAAAAACTTGTACAATAAAAAATTTTTTTTCTATATTTGCTTGCTTAATATACTTAAAGTTTTAATTTAAACTATCCCTATAAAAAAATTTTTTACAGAAAGTCCTACAAAATGCAAGGAAATTCGCATTTTTCCGTACATGAAAAAAATTACAGAATGTAAGGAAAAATGCGAATTTCCTTGCATTTTGTAGGACTTTCCTTACACATCCCGCAGTTCCTTACATTTTGTAGGACTTTCCGTAAAAAATTTTTTATAGGGTATTAGAAAGGCAACATGGCTGTACATGGGCAAATGTTAAGAGAAATTGACAAAGTAGATTTAAATGATCTAACATATGATGATCCTATAAGTAATGGCATAGTTGATCTTAAATGTGATCGTTTTCTCATAAATGAGGATAATTTTGATGTTCTTGTGCTTTCTGGGAATCACCAAAAGCGAAAAACAATTATTTTAACTTTCTTTGAAATAGGTATTTATTATTATTATACATAACATTGATGCATTTTTTTTACTCATGGTATGTTCTTGGTTAATTACAATCTTGAAAGGTATTGATAATTCACATACTCACCCACAGGTTGATTCTACAGGGCGATAAAGCAAACATAAGGAATCTAGTAAAAGTAGTGATGTTAGCCGGCTAATAATCTGCATACTTAATTTCTAAATTTGGTAATAGATTTCTATGTTACTTTTTTGTTATAGAAATAAAATTACCAATTTAGGTAGTAAACGGCTTAGCCGGCTAAGGATTTTTAAATGGCTAACATCACTAAGTAAAAGAAGCTCCAATCAAAAATCTATGTGCTGACTTTGTCTGAAAAAAGAATGAAATCCAAACAAAAATTAAATTTATTATATCACCATCTCAAGTTGTACACCATGACTGTTGGGTTGAAACAATTTCTGTGAGAGAAGGAGTGGCATGAGACACAATAGATTTTATTTTACAAGAAATAAGGGTGGATATTATTTGTTGATTTCTATATAGACATTCAGAGGGAACTTATATGGAAATGATTGGTCATCTGATTAATATAACTATGCGTGATTTACCACTTGAATTCAAGATTGATATAACTAGGTAATCCACATAATGTTATATGATGAAGTATCAAAAAAGTTTAAAAAGGAGAAACTATATAGTTTCTTATTTGTTTTTGGAATAAATGTTGCAGGTATATATATATATGAACTTGGTTAACTTCTAAGAAGAGTTCTTTTTTTTTAATTTGGATTTATACCATTAATTATAGGCCAGTGTTGTGCCATTTATGCTTCCGATAAAAATTTCATTGGAGCATTCTAATTGGAATCAATGAAGTTGACCAATGAAATTTCAATTACAGTGACACACACACGAATTTTATTGGTCAATATCTACAACACTGATTATAGGGAATACTCTCATTATAAACAAGTTGACAAGTGAAAAAGGTGCAAGATTTAATTTCCCTATATCAGAAACTATGATATCATTATTCAATGAATCAGTTCAGGAAGTGGAAGATTTTGTTGACTTTGAGGGTAAGGGCTTGATTCCCTTGTATTGTTTGTATTTTGGCTTACCAAGCACAACAATGATCAATCAAGTTTAGTTTTGAGGTGTAATTCAATTCTGGTTATATTCTTATTAATTTTGTCTCTTGAATTCTTTTTACATACTTAGAATAGAGTCATTGTGAATTGTTGGGATCGACGGCTTTACATTTCTTTTTAAAAGATTTTGCAGATTCCCCTCTACAAGAAGTCACAATTAGGTCTCATAGATAAGATTTATTTTAGAACAATTGTTATTACAATTACTAAATGTGAAATCTTTGTCATAAGAGTAGATTGATATTTCCAAAAAAAAAATATCAGAAATTTTTATTGCAAAGTTTGTGATTTCTAAAATATTTTCCTAGTTTCAGTATGTTGACGTTTTTTCTTAGGCTTTATTTAAAAGATTACTATTCTTTGCTTATCTCTCAAAATTTTAGATTATCAGAGATAATTTTTCTAAAACTTGTAATTATTTAAAATCAAAATTTATAAAATTAAAACTTATAATTATTTAAATATTAATAAAATATTTTGCGTGACTTCATAACGATGATTTTTTATACCAGCAAAAGGACCTAATCCTAATACTAGACCATTAGGCGGGACCACAATTGAATAATCTTTTGGAAAAAGATTTAAAGGTTTGACGCCAACATAATTTCGCCCTAGCTTGAGTAGATTTAATTTCACTATATTTGGCCAATCAAATCTAAATAAGAATGGGTCACCTGGTCGAATCCCAAATATTGCCGAAATATTTGATATATAGATGCAAAAACAATTACGTTTCATAAATTTAGCAAAAAATTTCTACAGGCATTAAATGAAATGTTGCTTTACTAATAAACAAAAGGATGAGAAGGATAAACTCTTACTCTTGTCACAAAAACAAACTTGGATAGATTCCTTGGTTTCTGAAAATAACGATATAAACAAATGATAGACTAGCACCAACCTGAACTAATCAAAAGGATGATATTTTAATGTAGAAAGACAACTTTGATTTCTGAAATTTGGAAAGATACTTATTCTTTTCTTTTTTTTCCAGCTTTGAACGCCAGAGTCTCGCAAGTGCAGATAGAAAAAAAACTGACAAACGGATGGGTAGACGTCCAGATATTACGTTTGTGGTTAAAGAAGATAATAAAATTTACGAACTCATGTATTCAGAACGTTCTCGAATTTTTTGTTCTAAACAAAAAGAAAACGACGATAGGATTAAATTATGGCATATACAAGTTGCAGGAAAAAAGTTGCGTTTAAATGTTCTTATTAGGGATGCGGTTGAAGCACATCGTTATTTCAAACTAGATGAATCAGAATATACCTATTCGCTATACTGATGATCCAACTATTATAGTAAGATTTATAAAGACCTTGTTACGAAATATTTTATTAGTTAATTTCTCACTTTTAACGCAGTTTACATATACGCAGATCTAGTAGAATTATTGAAAAAAGTTCAACAGTGTCATCCGATATAGGATAATCCATTTTTATTTTCCAAAATTTTCATACAACCGAAAAAAATAAGCTAATTATTATTACACATATCTGATAATACTACATATTGAGAATATTCGATTCGATATTATTTACCTCTAAATATCTACATAGTTCTACAAAATTAAAAATCGCTTTAACATATCGCGTATTTTTATTTATGATAGTTAAAAAACAATATTAATGATCAAAAGGCAAGAACACAGATTTATGATGAAATGGAACCATACCTTCCTGGTGTTAAGAGAGAATATTTGCGTAAGATGACCCAAAAAGCTAAAAACATCTATAGATTATTTAAAGGGATAGGAATAGATAAAATCGAACACGTTACGTATAGCGCTGATGCTATTTCTAGCACAAATTCAAAATATTATAAATCGTTTTTCTAAAAAGTCTACTAATTCGAAATTTGAGGTAAGTATTTCAGCCGAGTCAAAAAAAATATCAGGAACCGAGTCAAGTATACCACCATCTAATGCTCTTCCAAAGCTCTTTCCGTTCAAGAAGATGCTATCAAAAGAGGAGCGTAATCAAGTCATTAACAAATTAACCATGCATTTCACTAATTCTCCAAACTTGGACAAAGGTTATAGTATATATATAAAGAAGACGAGCATCAGAGTGATTCCTATTCGTTATTCGGTTCACGTTGTCCAATATGTAGAGAAAATCATATGAGTTTACAAGGTAAGTGGTGGTTTGATAATCGAAGTAAAAAGATATATTATTTGCATTGCACTAATTTAAAAGAGCCGGAAATTTCTATTGATGAGGTATTGGAAGCTTATCCTGAAAATTCAGAACCGATTCAGGAGTTAAAAACTCAATGCTTCACATTACCTATCCCTTGTAATAATATGCTCTTAAATTTTCCGGATAAAAACATAGCAGTGGAAGCATAATTGTAGATAAGTATTTTTTTATTACATAACTATATATTTTTATGGCACTTGCATTACCCGAACTATTAACGAAAAATTTTAATTTCTTAACTGAAGATAATGCACTATATCCCGTCACATTCCCACTGGCGCTAGTACTGGATTCTTTTCCATGGAAAGGAATTGTCGAGGCTCAGGATTAACCTTCTTTTCTCCATTATTCTTAATATATCCTGTACAATACCAAGAATGAATGGGTTTATTAAATAATATCATACTTAAATTTATTTTTATTATTTTATAGGAGTTTTATCTGTCATGCAGTAATATTGTTTGTGCTGATGGGAATTTTTTTTATTTGGTGGTAGTAAAGGATTTTATTATATTAATTTTAGATTATAACTATGAAAACTACAAATTATATTAATATATATATATAATTTTATGCGTATTATAATAAACTTATCTTTTAAAGAAATTTCAGGGGACTAAATTATAGTGACTAGTTATGGATTAAATTTATGATGTAATTTTTCATATCTCCCACAAAAAAAAAAAATCATATCTGAATTCAAGGGTTGAAGTTTTTGTTTTATCTTTGAAAAATTACAATCTTATTTGCAAAACCGGATCAAACATCTTTATTTTTACTACAAAAACTACCATTTAATCATTTCAAATTTCTTTAATATTAAAAAAAAAAAAATCTTTGAGCTAAAAAGAAAGAGAACAAGACAAGAGTAAGTATTGTTTTTTAAAAATGGTGGTTGTGCGCATTTTCGTCATTCAAGCATTACTAGATCATGTCGATCATTATTATTAACGGATTAAGTATCATTAAATATTATATAATAATAATAAAGCGAGACTAATATTCATTGTTTTATAATAATGTTATGTTAAAATTAGGGTGCTAGTGCCATCTAGTAATAGTAAAATTATATATATATATATATAATATTTTTATTAAGTAAAATGTATACCGAAGCAACATTCTTCCATGACGGGCAAACAATAAATATTCAACACATAAAAAACTATTAGAGGTACCGACTTTAAAATCCAAATCTTACTTCTGGATTACTTCCAAAGAAAATTTTTGTTTGATCAAATTATATGAATCAGTTATAGTTTTTATTCAAAGAAAATTTTCTAATAAATGCAATGTTATAATTATTAAACCTGCAAACAAGGGCACTGCAAAAGATAATAAAAAGTATTTTATTTAAATTGACTTTTATATTCGTTTGCTAATAGGATTACTTAATGATTTGTTACTTTACAATGAAATTTCTTAAATTAAAGGCTATATCAGGAAAGGCTGCTAGAATTATTAGTATTATTCCCAAGGCAAGAGGATAGGAGTTGCTACTAAACAACAATCAAAAGGCTGGCTAAAAAGGAATAATGACCAGCGAAGAGGCTACTACTTCAACTGCTGCTAGCATCAGTATACATAAAAATCTTTACCAACATCTTGTGATACACAAAAATCATATACTCCATACGACCTATTAACACAACCTTTAGTTCATACTTTTTTCAATCCACCTGCTGATCTTTTACTAAGAAAACATTTACGCCATCTGAAGTAGAATATGATATTTCAAAAACATGTATCAACAACTTGGGCTCTAGGTCACTACTTAAAATTCCGTAAAAGACAATCATTATTCATATGTGACAAAGGATCATATTTTCTCTTTGAATTTTAGGTCTTGTTAATAAGATGCTTTCATTTGCATCAGACGGGGCTTCAGTTATCATATGAAACAAAACTGGAATAGCTACCAGATTATCTCAAAGTAACAAAAGATTTATCTGCAACTCATTGAATCACACATTGGCTTGCTCTTGCGTGTAATTTAGCTCAAAAAAAATCTATTTTTTGCAATGAAGTAGAAACATTAATTAAAATACTTGCAAACTTTTTAAAAATTTTGCAAAGAGAATGGAATCATATTATTATTATGTACTGTCAGAACAAGTTTATGATGAAATGTTTCGCATTTTACATCAAAAAGTTTATGATGAGCTTGCTTATTGATAGATAGTGATTAGACGCTCGCTGATTTTTGCAACGAGAAATGACTGGCTTAGACTTCATTCAATGCATATATATTGAACATAGCTTGATATGATTGTAAGTGATATTGGATTTTGATCATATCCAACGCAATCATGCTTTATTGCTACTGCAAATGATGTTTAGTATTTTATTTAAATCATATACAGTTTTTTTCTTTTTTTATGATAAATGGCAAAGGTACAAAAGAGGATGACAAAAAGTCTTGATATAATTTCGAGTAACCAGGTAAGTTAGAAAAATTGAATTAATGTTATTCATACAATCAAGTTTTTATAAGCTGACTTGGAAAAAAAAAGGAGGTTTAAATTTTTACATGTTTTAGTAGTGGTTTAGTTCAGCAGCCAGTATCTTTTTAAAAAGAAGATTTATCACAACATATATATACAGTACATACTAATATTGAGTCGGAAAAATTTTCTTGATGTACAAAGTGTAGAGGATTTTAATATCACTCTTGTCTTTTTTAAAACCCGTTATTTAAAAATTGTAAAATAAAGGGTCAATAAAATTTCATATCCAAACACCCAAAATTTTAATTATAAATTTACTATTCTTCTTGTACCACACATTACGCGTCTTTTTTTTTATTTATTTTTAATTTTACTCATTTGTTTTGTTTTGTTATGCCTTTATTTTTTATATAATAGCCTAAATAAACGTGGAGCAAAACTTGTAGTCTTTTATATGATAGGTAATTATTCAACATTCTTTACAACAACTATTTTTTGAGAGCAAATGCACAAGATTATGATTGTTTGTGTTATTTGTTATCAATATTAATTAGAGATCTCTATCTCATATATAGATACTTGGACAATTTGGAAACACGGAAACACCAAACAATTTAATATACAATTTTGATTACTGGAAGCTTATAGTTAAACCATTTCTTCTTATTCCTTGAGCACATAAGGCTAATCTGCCCTCCTAGGATATAAATGCAATTGAACTTCAGAAGGAGGTGGCAAAGTTCTCAGGTTCATGATGGTATTGCATTATTGGCATTATTGTCAAGGAGGCTGTTAAAGCCTTTCACTTGTCTGAAGTCTTTCAACATGCGGGGGGCACCAATAACTGTGGTAGGGGCGGCTCCGCAGTTATGGGTTGCAATATATAAGCATTTAGCATGCAACTGCATGTTGCGGAGGAAACTTAATCAAACCTGACACATGTAATCATCAATATCAGATTTGCTCATTTTATTTTTTTTTCAATGACTTTTAGGGAACAATTGTGCATGGGATCAAATTTGTGTGAGTGGGGCGAGAGTTTTGGTACGAAATTCACACAGAATTCAAATTCATGCACAAGGAACAAGCGGGGACGCACCAAGGGTTTATTTTCTAACTCTGCCAATTATGTGGCTTTTTCCAAAATTGATTTCTTGAATTTCATTTCTACATGGTCCTGGTATCATTACTTGGGTGATGCAATTTATCAATTTATTTATTTGTTAACTCTTTACAAATTAAGGACTAATACGGAAATTCGCAATTTTCCGTGTCATGAGAAAAAATGTATCAAATTTCAAATTAACTGAAATTATTATTACATGTATTTGATCTATAGATAAGGAAATTCCATATGAATTAATAAAGTATACATATCATGA